GTCAAGACGGTGTTCCTAAACAGAGATCTCGATGAGGAGGTCTATATGGAGCAACCCGAATGGTTTGCCTTACCTAGAAATGAACATAAAGTGTGCAAGTTGGTGAAATCTTTATATGGTCGAAGCAAGCACCAAAGAAATGGCATGAGAAGTCTGACTTAGCAATAATATCATTTGGGTTTAAATATAATAGCTTTGATAAATGTTTATATTCTAAAGTTTGTGATGATTATGTGACATTTATATGCTTGTATGCTGACGATATGCTGATTATGAGTAATCACATGGACGGAATAAAAGAAACAAAGAGGTTTCTTTTTTCCACATTCAAGATGAAGGATCTTGGACAAGTGGATACCATTTTAAGTATCAAAGTCACAAAGACTAGTGGGGGTTACTATTTAAGTCAATCACATTATATTGAAAATGTGATAAATAAGTTCAAACATTTGAACATAAAAGAATATACTAACCCGATTGATCCAAGTTCAAAACTAATAAAAAATGATGAAAGGGCGATTGCTCAATTGAAATATCTAAGTGCTATAGGGAGTCTTATGTATACTGTTTAATGCACAAGACCAGATATAGTTTATGCAATAAGTAAACTTAGTAGGTTTACTAGCAATCCAAGTAATGATCATTGGAAGGCTATTGTGAGAGTTCTTGGATACTTAAAGAAAACCAAGAACTTGAGCCTACAATATACTAAATTCCCGGCGATATTGGAAGGATTTACCGAATCTAGTTGGATATCTAGCACGGGTGAAAGTAAATCCACTTCGGGTTGGTTATTCACTTTTGGAGGAGGTGCTGTTTCTTGGAAATCAAAGAAACAAATATGTATAACACACTTGATCATGGAATCTGAATTTGTAGCTTTATCGGATACTGGAAAAGAGGCTGAGTGGCTTAAGGATCTCTTATATGAGATACCTTTGGGATCGAAGAATATCTCTTCAATACCTATCATGTGTGATAGTCAAGCCACGTTAGCAAAGGCATATAACGAGGTATACAATGGAAAGTCTAGACATATGAGTCTGAGACATGACTACATAAGGAAATTAATTAAAGATGAAATAATTTTCCTAAATTATATAAGATCAATTGAGAATTTAGAAGATCCTTTAACTAAAGCACTAAACAGAGATTTAGTGGCGTCTACTTCGAGTAGGATGGGGTTGAAACATCTTAACTAAAAAAGTCCACCAATGACAGCAACCCTACCTGTCATTACTCAAAAAGTAATCCACGGATTCAAAGGGTAACAACAAGTCATTCGATATGTGGATGGTTGCAGCATTATTCAAATCCGCAATGACCCTATCCTAATTAAATAATGTTGGCTGTTACTGAAGTGAGGGTTGAGCTTAAAGCTCTTAATAAAGTTTAGTGCTAAAACACAAGTACCTCTAAAGTAGTAAAGGTACCGGAAGAACTTCACCTAGACTAACTTCGAAGTAGTGCCGCCTCAATAGAGAGTTGGAGTTTCTCTCTTAAAAGTTTGTCGAATAGGATGAGCGCAAGGCCATAAAAGCCCTAAGCGAGTTGAGCAATTTGAGAACACGTGATACTTATGTGTGTGTTCTTACCGGTATTGTCACAAGGAATAATTGGTTCAAAGCTTCGATGCTACCTCTAATTCCAATTTTACTTTATTTGAATTACACTATGGTTAGATTCAAATCGAAAGATATCTAATCCTTATGCATAAGTGTCGTCTTTTTGAATATATGATCTTATTGATTTTGAACAAGTTGGGGATTGTTGAATATTTGTTCAAAATCAATGGAATGCTAATGGACTAATTGTTGGACGCAATTGTGGAATTGGTAGAATCAAAAGAAATTGAAAAATGAAAATTTTGATTTTTGCCCATGCGTACGCACAGGCTTATTTTTGTGCGTACGCGAGATGTACTTTTTCAAAATCAGAATTGATTTTACTTCTGCTATGCGTACGCACGATTTATACTATCCGTACGTATAGTGTTAAAAAATAGCCGTTGGTCGATTTTTCAATTTGAAACTTGAAAGCCGTTTTGGATTAAAAGTTGACACTTTTCATCTTATTTTGACACCATTTCATGATGTATTGATTGAGGCCTATAAATAGGTAATGAATAATCAATACAAACATATTACAAACAAGAAATACATACATTATTCCACAATTAAACAAATCCATGCTATAACTCATATTCATTTCTTCTTTATTGTGTTCATCAAGTTTTGACGGAAAATTTCTCGTACTTTGTTATTTTCTACATCAAGGCTTGTTAAAATCCTTCAAACCATTTTCCATAACACCCTTAAGCATTTAGAGAGGGGGCAAATATAGTTTGAGGACAACGATCCCGTGTTCAAGCCTCAAATTCATTCTTGACGTATTTCGTGATTTCTATTCATTTTGTTTCCATAATTTTGTTGTTATTTCTTCTCCAACCCCTTATTTTCCAACACGAAAATATTGTGGTGACCGTGGTCACAACAGAGGTGCGTGATTGGGGTGGATTCTCTCCATTGCTATTATTAAAGGCACCGGCATTGATTGTAATCGACGATTTCATAGATCGTGAAGCTATTCTCTCCATGGTGGAATTAGACCTTGAAATCAATTAGCAAAGCTTCTTTATTAAATTCTTTTTGGGCTTCTTTATTTGGGCTATAGGCAGCTTCTTTAAGTTGAGTTGTATTATATGGATTGTAGGCCTTTATATTAAGGGTTTAGTGTTTTGGGCCTAATTTGGGGCTTGATTTGTTAAGTATTGGCTATTAGGCTATTCCGTAGTGGGTAGTGGGCTTGCCTTATTATTTTTTAACTAATGTGGGCTGCAAAATAGTGGAATTAAGTGGATAATGGATCTGATGTAGTGAATGGGGTTGTTTTGGAATTTTGGTCTAGAGGTTGTTTGGGTTTAATAATGAGATTGAAGGTGTGCTAAACAGAAATTGTCCAGCAACATAGGATATTATGGGTTTGATATTTTAGGGAAAAAAAAAAAATTGGTTTTTGGGTTAAGGAAGAGAGAGAGACACAAAAGTGCAGATCGTTGAGTTTTGGTTAATCGGATGATGAGCTAAAGTTTTGAATTTTTGGAGGAGGATCAACCTTGGGTGATTTTTGGATTCTCAAAAGATCATCATCTTACTTTTTTGGTGTACGCTGTTTTGTGAGATTCCTTCCAACTACAGCATCATGGTCAGCGATGTATAGCTATAATTTTGGTCGGTGTATTGGCGTTAGAGCTTTTATCGGAACATGAATTATATGTTCGGTTGAGGTCTCCCGACAGATAGAGCTCACTATGTATGTCGGCACACTTCGTTAATTGTTTTTGAAAATTCTTCTTGGAGTGTGAGCTCTCTGGAGTGACTTTTGAGTGTTATTAGAGTGGCTACACTATTTGTTGTGCTTGGTCTCTTGTCGTTATTAATTTTCGTAGATGGTTGCTTTGATTTGAATTTCTTCTTGATAGGCATAAGTATTGTTACCGTCGCCAGTTTATAATTGTAAATTGATGCCTTTACCAACATCAATTTGAGATGAATGTCAGTGGAATATAAGGAAAGAATATAAAGCATCAATCTTTATATTTAGTAGGTTACTATTAATAAATATTGTAATTGATAATTCCATATTTATTTTTTATTTTGTTCTATATAATGAGAGAACCTCTCAGATCGAGGGGCATCGAGTTTTATTCAGTATATTTGACAGTGTATACCATCATGTACATGACCGAACCCAGTGCATTGAATAAGGTACTTCTTGCATGTATATCTAACATTAGTCTCATTTCCTTCTCGTTGCACCACCACTGTAACCTAAATCCCTAAATTGCGTCACCTCAATATCGACGTTGCCCCAATTTGATTTCTTTGAAATTTTTTCCAGATTTATTGAATTTTTAGTGGTTTTTTTTTAAGATGGTGATTTATATAATGTCTGTGTCGGTGATAGTTATGAAACGGGCTCACAAGTCAAAAAAAGAGTGGCCTTTTGCGTTGGTTTCTATTAGTAGTGATGGTGGTGATAGCAGTTTGGAGAGGTGGCTGTCAGTCATGGTATTTTTGTGATTCCAGATCTGGTGGGGAAGGCTAGTGACTAGTGTGGTGTGAAGATGGTGGAGTGGTGCACATGATGGCAATGGTGGCAGGTGGCGTAACATGGTGTTACAAGTGGTGGCAGTTTTAGCGGCAGTGGCGATACGATAAGACAATAAATATTCCAAGTAGTGAGACAAGCATTGGTCGTGTAACACGATGAATGGTATTAGTGGGGTTAACGATGGTCTACGGTGGTAGTGTTATTCCCTAAAAATTTCGTAATTATTCCCTAAAAATTCTCCGTTGTCCATAGACAACGTAACATCATGGTGATACTAGTTTAGTTGACACTAATGCTACGCAATTCAAATCAAGGGTAGAGGTGGATTTGTAAATCCCTGTCAGTAACCCCCGTTTGAGTGGCATTTCTCCTTGGATAAAGATATTTGTACTCTCACATTTGTACAAAATGTTTTACTCACTCTCGCATACACTTAAGCTTCATATGAAATAAAAAAATCCCAACAGGTGACCTTCATCCTCACATTGTGAGTGTAAGTAAATCATTTTGTACAAAAGTGTATGTACATTTAGCACTCTCCTCTTTCCTTACTTAATTAGCTGACTGAAAATTGAAAAAGCACTTGTTAGGAAAGGACAAGATAAGATGGCAGAGGCTCCATGGTTGATAAAAGATAGTTTTTTTTTTAAAAAAAAATATTATCTCTCCCATACAATTAGTACTATAAATAAATTTCATGCTTTTAATACAAATTATTATCCACGTCCTCTCTGGATGTGTTACTTAGCATTGTGGATAACGATAGACAACATAGGAGCGCCAATCGGAGGTCTAAAACAATGACAGAATTTGCAATTTTAAAAACGATACATGACCTACAAAGGTCTAAAACAAGTAATGAAAATGCAGTGAGAAATTATAAAACCTTTCTGAGTAACCATATCTCTAGATAATCATTAGAAAAACTAATCTTTTACATGATTTGCAAAGCAATACAAAATTCTATAACATGAAAAATTTTCAGCAGATAACGATGATGAGGGGTAGAGGAGGGAAGCATGAACTAGCACTAAAGATAGACAAACAAATATTCATAACCAGCGCTACCAGTTGATTTTCAATTGCCTACCCGTATAGTCAATAACCTCTGCATCTACTCGAACTGCAATCTTCACAAACAAAAGACAAGACTAATCTCAGTTCGATTGGTAAGGGTGTCCATAATACGGCATTCCAGGTGCCTGAAATGGAGGAAGAGGAAGCGAACTAGGAGTTGCATGCGGTTGTTGAGGTACAGGTCCTATTTGCTGCTGAGCTAATGTCGATGGCTGATGGCCCATCACAAGTGGTTGCTGGTGAGTCATCTGAGGCGGCTGCTGGGTAAAAGGAACCATTGGGTTCATCATGTAAGATGGAGGTGGGGGTGGAGGTGGCCCAGGTGGCAGTGGAGGAAGACTACCATAATCATAGGAAGCCACAATTCCACCCGATGGCTGCAAATACTGCTGAGAAGGTGGCTTAGGAAGTGAATGATACATAGATTGAGAGTTGGAAATTTGACCTTGGATTGATGGCTGAGCCATCATATGTGATTGGTATTGGTTGTTTTGAGAAGGATTAGGTTGCTGTGCCGGCAAGAAAACAGTCTGATCCGAAACAGGGTTGGACATTGGAGTATTGGAAGCCGATGAGAAAGAAGTCGAGGATGTTGAAGACTTCACAAGTCCCGCATTTTTGGCTTCTTCAGCAGCAAATGTAGAAAGGACAGAGGTCATAATGTACTGGGACGAGCTCGAAGCAGCTAGCTTGTCTGCGACCTCAGCTGCAATTGCTGCAGCAGTTTTTCTCGTTGTTTGTGCTGGTTTTGTATTGGTATCTGCCGATGCAATCAATGCTTTTGAATCTATCACATGGTCTTCATTCAAACATTTCCGCATATTTGCAGCTTCTTCTGCCTGTCCCTGTGCTACCTGAAAATTGATCAAATGCATAGATGTTAGCATAATTTAAAGCTGATCAATTAGTCATTCCTGATGAAATTTTAATTGACTAAATTCCAGTCCAAAATCGCTATAAAGTTTCAAAGGGACACGAGGTAGAAAAAAATTCTGACTTTGTGAGGATTTAACAAGGCAAATTATAGAACCAACCATGGCTACTGTTACCACCAAAACATTTTCCAACAAATATAAACTAAGTGACGAGGTTATCAGACAGATCTTTTCTTCCTCTTCAATATTGAACGTAAATTGCAACCATGTCATAAAATAGATGGCCTCGACTCTCCTGAGAGTTCAGAATTGCCACATCTCTAGTCAGAAGTTCAAGTAAACTGCCAGTTTCTCATTGATCATAATGGAGTATAATCATTAATCTCAATCATCTAATAAGTGATATCTCTTCCATCATAATAAATGTATTTTGTTTCCATAAGGATAAAGGAAACATGTACCCATGAATTCTTATAAAACTTAAAGATGCACCTCTTTTTAGCAGCCAATTACTTTCAAGAAAGAACAAGAAAATGAAGGCAGATGGCATCATGGAATAGACAGATTTCTTCTGAAGTTCAAAATGCAATAATCAAAGGTACCAACCTGCATTTGCGTCCGAACATTCTCTAGCTCGGACTCCTAAAAAATCGTACAGGAAACCACAAGAAATCTCACATCAATCAAGGTCATCAATTTTTCAAATATACAAAATAAATATTTGTAAATAAATGATCTCGTACCTGCTCATGAAGTGCTTCTCGTAACTGTGACACAAGCATCACTCTATTCGCGTCGACAACTTTAAGTTTCTTAATACATTGATTCAGAACAAGTTCTTCCTCCTCTAGGTCTTTGGCTAAGGTCCTCCGCGTCGGATCCTTGGCTACAGAAGGAAGAAGCAATTTTTTGTTGACAAAAAATTAAGATCATCACATTACAAACCATGAATAACTTAGGTAAGAAGAAGACTGCTGAAGAGAGCATATTTGGCCAAGCTTAAAAGCTACTTCTAAGTTCTAAGTATCTTTAATTTATTAGACTTAGTCAAACACACTCATATAATCTTGAATAGCACTTAAAAACTCGAAGCCTTAAGGGGTTTTCTGGTGGCATTGACTATAGTTCCAAAATGAAAAACCAATTCCAGCCTACACAGAAATGGTAAATATTATAGAATTGACAGCCTACCTTTTGTTAAGGCAACGTTGACATCTTTTCCTATCTTTCTCACACGTTGGATGGCAGACTTGCACTTATTCATTTCTTCATCTTCTGTGGTATGTTCGCTGAGTACCAGGTTAAAAGCTGACACAATTTTTTCTTCTGTGCTACCAATGGTTAATTTCTGTTTTCAAAAGCAACACACACAGAATAAGTATCCAAAAATGTCGGTAGAGGATAGACATATTACAGGATCGAATATCTACAGAGTTAGCACTATATAAAGTATTAACGACATGTTGGGTTGGGAGGATTAGCCCAGGACAGTACTGAGGAAGAAAAGAACGTAAAATCTTGTTCACTATATTGTCCCATACTACACAACAAACATGCACGGAATGGTTAACCTCACCGTTCTAATAGATCTAGAGTCTCTCTTTATTCTTACAGAACGAGAACGTTTCTTCCCAAACTCCAATGGTGGGGGCAATTCTTCTCCAAGCATTACATCTTTAAGGCTCTGAGCACGGGATCCAAATACTTTCCTTTCTTCCCATATATTGACCTAATAATAAGATTATCATATTAGTCAAGCCACTCCAACCAACAGATATGGTGCTCACCTATAGTTGTTGAAATTGATAATTCCATCATGGGGCAAATATGGTGTAATAATCTGGATTTGAACAGTTTAATAAAAGCTCTTCCAAACAATCTATGAAAAAATGATTGGCAAAAGTAATGGAAGAAAAGGGCAAGGAAAATTCCTTACCAATCTTGAGACGGCCTTCTTTCCACGATCATCCCCATTCTTCATCACCTCCTTGAGTGCTGAAGGAAGAACCTTCCAAAATTCAGAGACAAATTCATTCCCGTTACGCTTGCTGTTCTGCAGGATATCATTTGCAAGGTACAGAAGATGCACTTTCTTAACCATCTCCAAACTATGGAATTGTTTATCCCATGTTGCAACAACTTGCTCTGCTTTACCACGGTGAAAAATGCACCAGTGCGACAAAGCTACATAGAAAAAGAAGGTAAAAATATTATCAAGAAAGATTAACAAGTATAAGGTAGCACAAAAAGGGTAATCGTCTAATGCAGTTAGAACTAGACAAGAAGTAATGAAGCATGTCTGGTTGTACTTAAAAGTATGTCAAACTTACTTTTAAGTTACTTATTTTGCCAAACACGATTTTCAAAGTTATTTTCAACTAACAAAACTAACTTTGCTAACTTTTAACCACAGCCAAACAAGCTCACATAAAATTGCCAAAATGTACGGAAACGTTAAATTCCAGTTTATGCTTTTTTTTTCTTTTTTTTTTTTTTTTTTCACAATGAAGTAACACTAAATAGGACATGAATTGTCGTACACAATGACAATCTTGTCAAATTCGTGTGTACAAAATAAATCTTCAAAGAAATGGTCATAGGGTATTAAAAGGTCATAAAGAAGGAAAAAGTAGACATACTAGACATGGTAAGGTTACAAAGAAAGCTAGTCATCAAATTAAGCTTTATAAAGTAGAAATATATTTAGAAAAATCTGAAATGAAATACATGATAACATTTGTTGGAATTATTGTAAGAGGCAAAAGCAAACAAGAAGTATCAGACTTTAACAGCACAATTATCAGATTAGCAAATCTTCACCAACAAGAAAATGGTGCTTTAGGAAAAGAAAAGTCTTTAACAGCACAATTATTCCGGTTCCATGTTCAAGTCTAAACATGCTGAATTTAGGCATGCCTAGGATTGCCACTTAGTCCAAGGGCAAACAAGGGGCAACTTTGAATTTATAGACGCAAAACCCTATTACCATCTAATAAAGAAAAAACCAAATTACATCAAGGAAGATCAATTGCCATATGCAGGATGCAAAATCCCCCTGTTTTCATTCATCAAACTCAGTGAATCAAATTCTATAAACAAGCAAAAAATCTGTGAATTAATAAAATCACTTGACTAGCTAACAAATAAAACACAAAAAAATTATATGCGAATATCTACTTTTTCATTTATTTTCAAGAAGAGAATAAAAATTGCGCGGCCTTCCTATCATTTTCAGCCGAAATGGGAAAAATTCAATCATAAATAGCAAAAATAATTGATGGGGCATACTTTCAATACACTGCTGGGTGTTATTGAGCTTTGAGAGCTTGTCTGCAAGTATCTCTTCATTGAACACACTATTCATACCACCTCTCCGAATGCGCCCTTTACCGCCAACACTTTTTTACTGCACAAAAACAAGATATATATAAGCACCCCAAGACCCGTAAATCAATTTAATTCAAAAATAAACCCTAGTTACTAGCGAAAAATGGGAAGAAAGATTAACCAATTAAGCCAAAGGGACTCCGTAAATCACCCAATTGGGCAAATGCAGAGAAGAGGCTGGTACAATATTAGCAAAAGATCGTTGAATTGAGCTGGGGAAAAAAATAAAAACCAAAATAAAAAAAAATTAAAAAAAGGCAGCAAGAGAAAAAGGAAAAGAAGCAAACTGGGGATTTAAAATTGCATTACCTGATCAGTATATAAACAAAATCCTGAGGGCCACTTCCAGAAACCCTAGAGAAGCTTTACAAGATGGAGGAAATTATGAGAAATAGCACATTCTGTATGCGTTTGTATTCAATAGGGAGATTAATGAGAAATTGAGCTGGTGTATTCTTGTATCCATCTTTATAGACGGGTGTTTTCTAGTCATCGTTACACATGGGAATACATTGTCTTCATCCCTGCAGATTTTTGTAATTTGACTGTAATATTATTGTAATTTTCCACCTTCCTCTCTGTTTAGGTATATTCAATGTTATCATTTCTAATATTTATAATAATATTTTAATTGCACATAAAGTCCTATTTTAATTGTACTTAAAGTCCTCCATTTTTATTTTTTATTATATAAAGTCGCTCTGGAAACATCAAGCACCGTGGTTTGATCAGCTCATTCCCCATTTTGATTGTTTTAAATTCCAAACAATTTATATTCTTAACTTTTTTCCTAGATATATTCTTCTTATCAATCTTTATTATTTAGTATATTGATAATGGTTTTATACAAAAAAAATATGTTGGAGGAAGTAAAACAGCTTTTTTCGTCATGTTTTTTAAAATAATAAATGAAAAAGTATGACAAAATATTTGTACCTCACTTCAAAGCATGCAAAGCAAAATATTTTGACGTAAACATTCATCAAAGACGAGATATGTTAACTTATGACATGATGAAGAAAAGAATTCAACGAAAAAAGTGAGGGACATAAATATTGTAACGAGTAAAGATTATAGACTTTTAGGCACAATTAAAATGTAATACAATAAATAAAAATTATTATGTGAATATAACGACCAAAAAATATTATTGAAATATAAAGTTATTACTATAATACTATATTACAAGGTTTAGAATATGTATAGGATCATGCTATGTGTATATGTTATAGTTACACTTGCTAGTGCTTTACTACGTCAATTGATATTTTACTAAGTTGAATTGAGCATGATATTTTGAAAATATCTAATGTACTTGATAAATTAGTCTAATCTATATGTCACGACGAGCAATGTTATACTATACATTTAGAGTCCGTTTGGTACACATTAATGTAAAAATGAGAATGAAAAATATAGTTGTTATGGACCCCACACAAGAGATAGAAATTCAAATTCGATAGCTTGATGTGATGAATAACGATCATATTTTTCATTTTAATGAAGAAAAAAAGAGAAACAAACGGGAGCTTAATAAACATCTTGATCAACTGCTTGAAGTGAATACTTCGAGTTGACTCATAAAATATGGAATAAATGGGAAACTGTGCCCAAGCACCATGACATTGTGTATTGAAGCGATTTATGACAAGAAAATGTATATATCTATTGGTTACAATAAATAAAGATCTATTATATATGTTTTGGAGATCATCTAAATGGCATATGTTAAGTTGAAAGGATATTTATTTAATTTGATCGATTGAGTAAACCCCATGTTTGCAATGGAATCAGATAACGAACATATAGAATTTTTATTCTCTTTATGAAATTTATCAATGACAGGTAACCTCTATTTCAGTGCCGCATATTTGATTAAAACTCAACAAGTGTCTTTTTTTTTTTTTTTTTTTACAAGGTGTCCGGGCTTGCGTCCGACTAGATCTTTGTCCCTGAACCTCCGGCCCCTCAGCAGCTCAGGGAGGTAAACCGCAGGATGTGCCCTTGTTGGCTCCCAGGTTCCCACAACTCATTTGGACTCCTTCCGCAAAGAGAGCTCTTCTCACTGGGCGTTTGTTCACACCAATGGCTTCCTCTCCATATGACTCCCAGTGTTAACTCCAGGAATCGAACTCCCCACCCTTGCTTCCAGCGTCCCAGTGAAGTGATTGTTCCACCAATTCGGATGTGCCCTGGGGGCCAACTCAACAAGTGTCTTGAAATTACTTGAGATGGTACCTTAATAAAAAACTCAACTTCATAGCGACATATTACTTTATTTTTATCCCACAATATTGATTGTGACCCCATTTGATATCCATTTTTTTCAAAATATATTTTTTTCTCTCTTCTTTTCAATCACACATTCTTCATTCAAATAATATTACACGTAAATCAAAAAACTTTTCCTTATTTTTTAACCATACATTTTCCATCAATTTACTATTTCAAACATTTTTACATAAAAATGACTCTCAAACACCATGTTTTTTTACCAATGTATTACTTTTATCACTTCCAAATAGTGCATAACCATCTGGCAAATATCAATTTTATTTATTTTTTTTAGAGAAAGGCTTCAAATTTTTTACCAATGTATTATTTTTATCACTTCCAAATAGTGCATAACCATCTTGGCAAATATCAATTTATTTATTTATTTTAGAGAAAGGCTTCAAATTTCATCAGTGTTGAGGTGATAAGAAACTGCAAGCCATATCAATGTCCCATGCAAACTGCAAGCCATAACAAAGTGCAATAGATTCTACCATACTTCTCCTAAAGCATCAGGAACATGGCCGCAAGGGCAAGAGACAAAGATGAGGTATACTTGGTGATACAAAGGACCAGAGTGAGATATACTCAACTTTGCTAACAGTCGCAGTGTGAGGATTCAATTCTTGAAACATGGATTGAGACTCTTTGTGAGCACCAATGTACAGGCAGCTCTTGTTCCTTGACCTGTTGGGGCACATCTCGCGATTAACCTCTCTCACGATGCTCTAGGGGCGGGACGGTGGAGGACCTTAAGGGTTGGGGTTCAACCTTTAACATGGCCGCAAGGGCTATCTCGAATGAGAATCCTTGTACCCCCGCAAAGTTATCTGTAGCTCAAATAGTTGCATTAACGTTCAACTTGAGATGCCCAATCATTGGTGTGACCCAATTACGGATGGTCCACACTGAACCAATCTGGAACACCGTGCACAAAGGCCCATGTCATGCCTTGCACTGTAGCTAAGCACTTCTCTCCTAGTTCCACCATGAAATACCGCATTCCTCTCAATGGTCCATAATAGGCTGCCGATGAGGTCAAGTTCAGCCCTGAGCATTCAATGAAAATGTGCAAACTAGTGGTCTCATCCACTCTACGCCTAAACAGTTAGGATCTATAGGATTTCTCCTCCTCAACCACTTTTCTACCGACGAAAACAAGTCTTTAAATAAACTCCAAAGGAAAATCAAGTTTTTTTGTGGTAATCTCAATCCTAACATCACTTTCCACCAACCTTTTCAGACTAGAAGAACTAGACCCCTTTTCTTCCACCACTTCCCCTTCCAATGGCCAATACCCACTCTTGACTCTGTAAATTCCCTTCCTTATAATGTCATATCATATGGTCATTCCTACCCATTCTAAGAGGGATAGATTGAATTACCTCGATGACAGTAGGAAGGAAATACTGAGAGACCAGCTCTTCATCTCATGCACTGTCCTAATAAAGCAATTCTTGCACTTGCACTTGCACTAGCACTTGAACTTGAACTAGAACTAGAACTAGAACTAGAACTAACCCCCGTTCAGCCTAGAGATAGGTTTACAGGAATGAGCACATGGCAACCATGGGTTATCATAGATATTAATCCTTGTTCCACCTCCAACCCTCCATTTGACCACCCTTAGAATCAACTCATGTCCCAACAGGATACTTTTCCACAGGAAAAAACAAGAAGGTATAGCTATATCTTCAAGGAAGGACTTGTCCAAATATATTTACTTTTGGAACCATTATCATCCAGATAGTCGCCATTTGTAAGCGGACTCCCTGCCTTTGTAGCCACTGAAGACTAATTAAACTTTCTCAACTCCCGGAATCAAATCCTACATCCCACCTTTGGCTCAGAGTTTCTTCCAACTAACCTAGTCGTCGACCCATTCTCAATCCTACCAAAATCTTAGAATCGTCGACCTAAGATCCCTACAAAGTGAGCCCAATAATTTGAATATGCACACAATATGTGGGAGATACTTAAAGAACTATTTTAACCAAAACGTTTTTCTGCGTCCTGTAGAAAAGACTTATTTTTCACCCTTTCACATTATTCTGCATGTTTTTAATTCTCACAAATAATCTTTGTTGTGTATGTGATTCATATAGAGTGAAACATAAGTTAACTTGATCGAAATAGCCGATGCCGGAGTGGAGTGAGAAGAGCGGAGCTCATCGAACGGAACGGAGAGAGAAGTGATGGCATTAGCCTTGCAGGTTGTAATTCACTATTTGTTTGTCAGGGACCCTGAATAGGTTGGGTGCGGGAGCAATGCCCCTACGCTACAACTAAAAATAATTAGAAACATTTCAGAAAACATCCAAAAAAGTTTGATCTATGCCTAGTTCCTGGACAGAACCCTCTCATGCTGTTCAACTAGTTCGACATACCAAAAGTAATATCGGTCGTTATTTTAAAGCGAAAAAATACAAAAACAAAAATTAATATTATCCTTACATTCTTTGAATGGTCATTCACTTTAAATCACAGGCGTATTCCCCCAAGGCATATAATAATATCATTTGAGATTCTGATTCTTAATATTAGACAGCAAACAAGATGCAAATCATGCTTAGGCATCATGAAGAAATTGCACATCTACTACAGCATCATGAAGTGTGAATTGATAGGCACCAAAACTGTGTTTGCTAGAGCAATGAAAACAACCAAAACTAAAAAATAGATTAAATTTTAAAAACCTGGAGAGTTCTATACTAACATTTAGAAAAAGGAAACTCTTCAAGTCCAAAATAACCGATACAACAAAGAAAAAAATCCTCTCAGTGTTCACCAGGCAGTGACTTAATGATGTCCGAGTCACCTGAATTGCAAAGAAGTAAAAGTATAGTCACGATGACATAAATGATGGGGAAGAAAACTAAAGCAACATAAATTTGAGGTACCTGGATCAATAATGCTTAGGCAAGAAACACGGAAGTATTTGCCACAGGCAGTTCCCAAGTCAACATTATCTAGCAAGAAGACAGCAAAAGAAGACACTTCAGCACAAGCCAGGCAAAACAATAAGTTACGAATTCTTATCTCAAGTACAGTTCTCAAACAACAAGAATACTGATTTCTCATCTCAAGTACAGACCTTAAGATACATTAATTGCTCACACTATGCAGGCTGTTATCTGCTTCAAAAGGTTTACCCCACCCTTCCATACTGGACTCTTCTTCACTCAGACCATGTTAAGTAAGCTTTATTTGTGAAATGGCATTCAAATATGTTCAAGAAAATTTGGAGAAGAGATTAAGGATACAAGTCCTATCATCATTTGCCAAAGTTAGCATGTAAATAATTTACTCAATAACCAAATTAATGGGGATGTTTCACTTGTCATCAATAGCATTTATATGAAATCATTCTCCTAGAGAATGCTAGCTATTATTTGAAATCAGTCTCCTATGATGCACTGATACGAATACATGTGTCCAACACCACATATGTCAGATACACTGGCACGCGATTTTCAGAATATTACAGATACATCAAACACTTCTTAGTTTAAAAAGTTAATTGATCTGGATAAGGATTGGAAATTCATTGCTTTAACCATCCAAAACCTTGTATAAGCAATTTGTTATAATTGAAAACTAGACATTTAATTGACTTGGTAAAACTGATCAGATCTCACCATCACAAGAGCCCATAGCTTAATCTTACAATCCAAACACACAGCAGAAACATGGCACATTTCACCACAGCACAGCACACGTTTAAGATAGCTATATCAGTATAAAACGATGCTATATCCAATTGCACCTAATTGGGAAGAAAAAAGTTAGGCCTTCAACTACGCCTTAGGTAACCGATTAGTCAACTTATAAGAACTAAGTACCTTTTCCAAACTACAGAACATCCCAGGGATGCGGTATGCTTAGATTAAAGTATTTTCCTCGTTAGGAAAGAAAATCCACAACAATCAGCTCAAACAAAAACTTAAATAATAGCCGACAAATCAGTGCAGAGGATAAATGAAGTTCTAATAAGAAACTGAATGGCATTAATCAAAGGTAAATTCAAGAAACCTTTAAAAATGATTTAAGAACTAAAGCTTACTTCCATTATAGTGGTGTACGCCAACTTTTGAAAGCATGGCATAGTACTCGATCTCAGATTTCCTCAGTGGTGGACAGTTGTTCGATATCAGTATCAGTTTCCCTATCATCATTAATTCCCCCAAAATCATTAAACAAAGAAATCAAATTTACAAAAACTTAAATATAACAAACAAATAAAGTATGATTTCAATCACTCAAAAAAAGAAAAACCTTTGGAGTTACGGAGAGTTTTGAGTACGGTCTTGTAACCAAGGGTATACTTTCCGCTCTTCATAACAAGAGCGAGCCTGTTATTGATGCTCTCATGAGTCTTTTTCTGGAAAACAAAAAGAATCAGAAAAAGAAAAGAATTATAAAGGTTTAGATTTGGAAGTACACCGAAAATCAAAACTAGATCAAGATCAGATGAAAGACAGAGCGAGAGCAGTACAGTTTTCTTTGCAGCAACCATTGTGAAGCGGCTACAGCTGGGATTTTTGCTGAGACTGAGATGGGAGAGGAGTGTGAAACCCTAGTTTAACAGATGGGGAATTTTAATCATAAATGGTTACAGATGGGCGGGGTTCAGTGATGGCTGGGCTTTAATTTGGGTTCAGGTCACTGTTGAGCTGGGTATTAGTTTGGGTTTGGGTTAAGTTTGGGCTGAGTTTTTGTCTAGGTTATATTACTGTTGGGCTGGGTTTTACATTGGGTTGGGTTTAGATGGACTGGGTTGTGTATTGGGTTGGGTTTTATATTGGGCTGGGCCAAGATGGACTGGGTTTTATATTGGGCTGGGTTTAGATGGACTGATTTGTAATTTGGGCTCGGCCACTGTTGGGCTGGGTTTAGATGGACTGGGTTATATTTTGGAGGATCAAATTGGACTTCTCTAATAACGCGAAGGATGAAGTTGATGTTAATTAGTACGTGGAGGACTGAATTGAACTCAACAAATAGTCAAAGGATGAAATTTGTGTAAAACAATAGCTGGAGGACAGAATTCAACTCAACAATTGGAGGATTAAATTAATGTTAATTAATAGTTGAAGTAGCGAATTGGACTTCCCTTGTAAATGAAGGATGAAAACTAATGTTAATTATAATAGTTGGAGGATGGTTCCCTAATAATTGAAGGATGAAATGTATGTTAGTTAATAGTTGGAGGACCGAATTCTACTTTTGTAGTAATAGAAGGACGAAATTTATGTTAATTAATAGTTTGATGACCCACTTGGACTTCCCTAATATTTGAAGGACGAAATTGATTTTAATGAATAGTTGGAGGATCAAATATACTTACCAAATAGTTGAAAGATGAAATTATATGTAAATGAATAGTTGGAGGATAAAATCATACTTACCAAATAGTTGAAAGATGAAATTATAATTAAATGGATAGTTGAAGGGTCAAATTATACTTACCAAATAGTTAGAAGATGAAATTTTTGTTAACTAATAGTTCAAGGATCAAATTGAACTTATAAAATAGATTAGGATGAAATTAACCTAAAATCATAGTTGGAGGATCAAACCAAATGTTGATAATAGATGGAGGATGCAATTGTTGTTAATGTATAGTTGGGTGACCAACCTGGACTTTTCTAATAGTTGAAGGAAGAAAATGGACTTCTCTAGTAGTTGACGGATCAAATTGATGTTAATTAATAGTTGGAGGAACAAATTAAAATCACCGAATAGTTGAAGGATGAAATTTATGTAAAGAAATAGTTCGAGGATTAAATTTTTGTTAATTACTAGTTTGAGGATGAACTTGATTTTACCTATAAGTTGGAGGAGCAAATTAAATTTTCAAATTGTTGAAGGATGAAATTTATGTAAAAAGATAGTTGGAGGATTGAATTGGTCTTTTCTTAAACTGGAAGGATTAAATTGGCTGTACAGAATAGTTGGATGACCAAATTGGACCTACTGTTAGATTAATGATAAAATTAATGTTAAACATAGTTGGTGGACGAAGTTTTATTTCACTAATAATCGAAGGATTAAAGTGATGCTAATTAGTAGTCGGAGGACCGTATTGGACTTACATAATACGTGAAGGATTCAATTTATGTTAATATAATGTTGGAGGACCAAATTGGACTTTCCTGATACATGAAGGATGAAATTGATTTTAATTAGTAGTTGGAGGACCAAATTTAACTTTACAAAAATTGGAGGGATGCAATTTTTGTTAATCAATAGTTGGAGGACGAAATTGGACTTTCCTAATACATGAAGGATGAAATTTATGTTATTTGAAAGTTTGAGGATCAAATTGGACTTGTCTGTACATGAAGGATGAAAGTGATGCTAATTAGTAGTTGGAGGACGGAATTAGACTTACATAATACATGAAGGATGCAATTTATGTTAATTTAAAGTTGGAGGACCAAATTGGACTTTCCTGATACGTGAAGAATGAAATTGATTTTAATTAGTAGTTGGAGGACCCAATGTAACTTTCCAGAAACTGGAAGGACGAAATTTATGTAAAACGGTAGTTGGAGGACCGAAATAGAATTATATAATACATGAAGGATGCAATTTATGTTAATTCATAGTTGGAGGACCGAATTATACTTACATTATACGTGAAGGATGCAATTTATGTTAATTTAAAGTTGGAGGACCAAATTTAACTTTCCAAAAATTGTAAGGATGAAATTTATGTAAAACGGTGGTTGGAGGACCGAATTAGAATTACATAATACGTGAAGGATGCAATTTATGTTAATTAATAGTTGGAGGATCGGATTAGACTTACATAATACGTGAAGGATGCAATTTATGTTAATTTAAAGATGGAGGACCAAATTGGACTTTCCTGATACGTGAAGGATGAAATTGATTTTAATTAGTAGTTGGAGGACCAAACGTAACTTTCCAGAAACTGGAAGAATGCAATTTATGTTAATTAATAGTTGGAGGACCAAATTGGAATTTCCTAATACCTGAAGGATGAAATTTATTTTATTTGAAAGTTTGATGACCAAATTGGACTTGTCTGATATGTGAAGGATGAACGTGATGCTAACTAGTAGTTGGAGGATCGAATTAGACTTACATAATACGTGAAGGATGCAATTTATGTTAATTAATAGTTGGAGGACAAATTCGACTTTCCTGATACCTGAAGGATGAAATTGATTTTAATTAGTAGTTGGAGGACCAAATGTAACTTTCCAGAAACTGGAAGGATGAAATTTACGCAAAACAGTAGTTGGAGGACGAAATTTTATTTCACTAATAATCAAAGGAGGAAAGTGATGCTAATTAGTAATTGGAGGACCGAATTAGACTTACATAATACGTGAAGGATGCAATTTATGTTAATTAATAGTTGGAGGACCGAATTAGACTTACATAATACGTGAAGGATCCAATTTATGTTAATTGAAAGTTGGAGGACGAAATTGTGCTTTCTTGATAGGTGAAGGATGAAATTGATTTTAATTAGTAGTTGGAGGACCAAATGTAACTTTCCAGAAACTTGAAGGGAAATTTATGGAAAACGGTAGTTGGAGGATGAAAGTTTATTTCACTAATAACGAAAGAATGGAAGTAATGCTAGAAAGAATGGAAGTAATGCTAATTAGTAGTTGGAGGACTAAATCAGACTTACATAATAAGTGAAGGATCCAAATTTTTAATTAATAGTTGGAGGACCAAATATGACTTTCCTAATACGTGAAGGATGAAATTGATTTTAATCAGTAGTTGAAGGATTAAATTTTTCACAAATGTGAAGGATAAAATTTATATTTTTCCTTGTTGGTCTGGGTTTTATTTGCATTAGATTATGTTGGGTTGGGTTTCACATAGGTTGGTTTAAGATGTACTGGGCTATAGTTTTGGTTGGACTTTCATAGCTGTTGGGCTTAGTTTTACATTGGGTTGGGTTTATAAATGAGGAAATTAGGCTACGTACCCTATAAAAAATGGAGATTTTGATTTATACCTTTTAAACTAATTAAACATTTTTAATACAGTAATATTTATGGCCTAATTATGAACTAAACGTCTACCCTTAAACAAACTTGACAGAAACCACTCCTCTCATCCCTAGAATTCATAGAAACTCTTTTATGTTTCTCTTCATCAACGTTCGTCGATTTCGTCTCCTACTCTCCTCCCATTTCACAGAAAAGTGACTCCAGATCTTTGTTTCTTACGAATTTTTGTCGATTTCGTTTCTGTATTCCTCAATGCACGTTCAATTTCAGTCATTCTGATTCTCATTTTGTGGAGATCTTAAATACCAACCCTAAAAATCCCAAATAGTCGAAACCCGAACTCGTTCCGATCAAAATCCAGTAATCTGAGTCCAATTTCGACTTATTCACTCCAATGCTAACTTTGATACGAAAATTCGACTCTTATTTCTGTAATGGCTGGAGAAAGTAGGTTGAAGAGGAAAATAAATATTGATGAAGAACCATCTTCGAAGACGAAATCTTATAAACCTAATGTAGCACTAATTTTTTCAACTTTCGCTCTTATGTGTACGTTTTATTCTTTGTTCCTTTCCGATTTTGATATTTCCTATGTGACTTTTTTTAGTTTTGTTCCATGCCTTTTGTTTTGTATAAAATGAAATATGTATATAATATTCCAAAACACTGCACGAACCAAAGTTTCATAGAACTTAGAAGCATTATTTTGTGATCCTTGATTTTGTTTCTAAGAGAAAATGGGGAATTATATTGAATAGTTCAAATAGGATTTTGAGATTATTGGATTGTTGAGATTAGAACGGGCATGGGGAGATTATGGGAGGCAACATAAGATTTGTGGGTCTGGAAGCTGTGGTGGGCATTGTGGAATGTGTATGATACAGTTGTCTAATGATGTAGTGGGTCATGTGATTGTATGATGACCACAGAGTACAACGTTTATTCTTAAGTTCTAGGAATTCCAATAAATGTTAGTATATTGATATAACTTTCTCATCATAGTGACATTCGTGTATTTACTGTGGAGTCTCGTTGCTGTATTTTGATGATGAAATATCTTTATGGTGGTTTTGTCACTTTTTTTGGTTTTATGTCACCTTTTTTATAGTTTGTGTCACTTTTTGGACTCTATGTCACTTTTTCGACTTTATGTCACCTTTTTTATAGTTTGTGTCACTAATTTAGCACTATGTTCAAAGGATCGTTGATTGCTCAAAATTGCTTAGCTACTTGTTCATAGTAAGACATGTTAGCTACTAATGGTTTTTCTTTATATTCAATAGAGGATATGTTACTAGTATTATAAATGTAAATATATGTTTATTGATGACTTTTTAAAGTATAAATAAAGTTTGGATGGAAAATACGGGTGTATATAGGTAGATATAATGACCCTATAGAGTTCGTCATACGTTTGTATTGCTGTGAAAGAATACAGGAGCTAGTTCTGAACAGATGTTTCATAAAGAGAGTATATTTGGTTAATTTGTTCAAAAATTCCTAAAGTTGCCATTGCTATAATACAGTCTTCCCTCAATACAAGTGTTGCAATTGTTGATTTAACTATATTATCAATTCTAAACAAGTGCAACACTGCGACTTACTGCCTTTGGCTACAAT